AATACTATGGTGTGTCTTTTTTTGTTTCACGTTTTCAATTGATATTTATTTGTTAATTTCAACATACTTTGGTCAGCCTCTAAACAAAATATACCTGATAAAACACACTCGAAAGAACGTCATTCAGATATACCTAGTTCACATGTAACTTTTACGCCGTAAATTTAACGACGGGGTTCTTTTTACCGTGTGACCAGTTTACGCCAGAGTGTAAAATGGCATACTAAACAGTTTCACAAACGCCCTCTATCAGTGAAGCGTATAGGCTTGGAAATAACTGGTTGATAATGAAGTCCTGCTACTGATTTCTATTAGGCAAAAAAAAAAAAAAAAAAAGATTGACAGACGAAACCTCCCGTGATAGCAGAATTTACAGAATTATTGCAGAAAAAGACAAGGAATTGTTCCGCAGAACAGTGTCTTAGAAAAGTAAAATATCTGAAGACTAAATTTAAATATACGCACAAACTAGATACTGCGCCATTATATCTATATTTATTTCTTTGCCGATTTGACACGTATGAGATAAATTGAGAAAGTCGTAAGTTATGAATATTTAACAGCGCCGCTACTGATGAATTGACCATTTTCCGTTCACTGCGAGAATCACGCGTTATGCGTGAAATCGAACGTAAAAACAGGACAAACAAAGGTCATAGCATCGTTCTGTCGTCAAACATCGGGTGGGATTCGCAAACGCGAAAATATTTTGGGGACATTTCCATGCTTAGTAATGTGCTGTACACATTTGATGATAGGCAATTTCGATTAAGTAAGGGTATTCGAAAGCAATATTCCTCTGTCGAAGATCGGCTGGTCGATGTGAGCTACGAAATAAAGAAACTCGAATTTCAAAATCAAATCGTTCGATTTTTGCGGCAGACGTTCGACGCGCGTCTTACATGCATCTCGCGAGATCTCGCAATTGTACGGAAAATCATCTATTGCGCGGCACTTACCCTTCACGATTGCGTGCGCATTGGTGTTCCGCTATAAATGTGAAATTCCGCTAAAGGTCTATATTATGATTTCAGAAGCAGTGTGATTTCCCAGGAATAAATATCTACTGATCAAGACTACCAGCGTAAACACGGTCCTGTACTCGCTGTATGTTAGTCTCGGGATTGCCCGACTCAAACAAAAATGCTAACATAATCGCTATACCACTTTCCGAAATATTGTAGTACCATGTACAATGTACTTGTCAACCGCGATGAAAATTTGAGTATGACAACATCAAGCCCCATCACTCATGAAAGCTAGATACAAGTAGATATTATTCTTTATAGAGGTTTTATTATATACTTTATAGGTTTATTACAATTTTACTACGTCGTGATCACAAACACACGACGTAATTTAAAATGACGCATTTCGTTGAAGGTTGGGAGATTTGTTGTCATCACTTTAGGAGTTAAGATTCATTGATATTTACAGTTTCATAATGTGGGGGGGGGGATCAAACTGCATTCAATTATAAATTCTATATTGTGCGTTCTTCTGAATCTGGATGTCAGTTTACCAACCACAAAACGATTCCTTTTCCAGGGGGATTCTGACGTTGACAAACATCTTCATGTTTCTATTTACACTAATGCAAACCATATGCAAGTAGTTTACAAAGATGTATGCTCTAAGTACAAGTGTGGTCTACGTTCAGTTAAATTATATCCCTAATTCGTTATTTTGAATGGTTGACATACCTGGCGAGATTTACTTTAATATGAAAATAGAATAAATCGCTTTGTCATTGGTAGTTCCCCAAATTTGAAGTGATAATCACAAACAACTCATGTGTCTTTTCTTTGAGATAATTCAATTTATAATATTTGTATCCATTTTCACGAACATTCAGAATACCACATTATGTGTCTTAGCTTAGCTGTAATATGTAAAACTGCTATGGTATGCATAATAAGTCTGATAATAAATGCAGTAAGCCAATCCTCACATAGTATGTTATATTAGTATGTTAAATGATTCATTGATCTTAAGTTTCTGTTACAGAATATATTAATATTGTGACTTAGTTATTGTTTTTAAGAACAAAACTTAGAAGTGATATTTATTTCTAGATTCAACAAGTTACTTGGTAAATATTTAAATGAATTTGAATGAAAGTTGATGATCGCTATTTACAAATTGTTTAATAAAGTCTAATTAAGCAATCAATTATTTACCACATTTTCACTAGAAAATAAGGATTTGATAAACATTATATATCGTCAGATTATTGAAATATCGCTGTAGAATTTGCCTCCCTAAAAGAAATGAACAGTTCCAATGAAGTCTCGTTTTCTTGATTATTGCCGTTGGTGGCGTGTTCAATGTCCCGAACAAGTCGATATTTCATCTCGATATTGAATAAAGTGAACCTGTGTAACAATTTTCGTTTTTTCCAAATGGCACGCTCAAAGTTTATTTTTTCCCTAAAAATGGCTGTTTTTTGCAAATTGGCCATTATCTCCACTTGTGTTTTTCAGTTTACCATGGAAGTTCAAATCTAAATAGCTCGCACAATTCTTGTTTATTTTGAGTGAAACTTTCACTCAACGTTCATCAGTTGTTTATTAACAAAGGGGCGTCCAGGCGTATATATAGTATGTTTTGTTTTCATATTACAAAGTTGTAAAGCAGGATGTGTGCCGTATATTCAATCCCGGTCAGTATTTCACACTTCGAATGTCATTGTCCGAGATTGCAAAGCTTTAAAAATAAGCCCAGACGTCCTTTTGTTCATAGAGACGTTGTCAAAATAGTGTGAAAATGTCAAGACAAACTGACAAAAACTGTGGGAGCTAATTAATTTTCAATCTCTCTGACCAACCAGAAAACACGAACGGAGACGGATAATGGCCGTTTTATGAAAGTGACGTTAATCGTCCACAAAAATGGCTATTGCATCACGACGACATGCCAAAATCCATGATACACCGACGCTTGCTGATGTTCAATCGTCAGATAAAAAAATAAAATAAAAATATTTACAATACGAGGGAACGGACGTAACATCGTCCAGAGTCAAAACCTTGCGTGAAAACTTTCATGGCGTCACGTTATCTTTCCACTTAGGGAGGGGCACAATGGATTACGTAAAGCCGATGAGATATTCATGCAGTTATATAAACATAGCGATCGCCATTGGATGGGTTGAGTCTAAATTTAACTTTCCTCAAGCCTTTAAAAAAATACTCTGTATGACGCAGTTGTTCACGATCTCCGGTAAAGTGGGCCGTGCGAAGTTAGACGCCCTTAGACGGCTAGGTTGAAATAAGCCGTAATATTTTGCTACACAACGGCTATTCGCAGTTTTTGTACTCAATCGCTCAAACGCCGGTGAGAAAAGGTCGAAATGGAAGACAACTATTGTAAATTGAAACAGGTTTCATTCAACTACGAGCAGACGAGACGGGTCGATAAAAATTAAAACGAACCCTGACCTCTGGAAATACCTCATTCATAGAATGCCATAGTACCAGAGGTCGCCAAGCTCGGCCGTACAACGTATTTTGCGACATCGCTACAGATGCATGCTAACGGACAAGGGGGTTTCCGATTAAGGTAACCAAGATGGCATCGCAGAGTGCGTGATTTTTCCGCGGTGTTTAAAAACAGTATCTCGTTGCCGATGTTTCTGTAATGTCCGGGGTATTTTTTATTTTTAATTAATCGAGCACTTCATGTTTGTGTATTTTGCCACTGAAAGTTAGTTATCGATGACAACACAGCAATGGTCTGAATGGTGTTTATCCACTACATCGCAATGCTATCAACACGATGATCGTTACAGCGAAGCGACAAATGTATAATTAGTCAATTTTATCATGGATGTACTGCGCATGCGTGTTGGTCGCTGTTTTTTAATGCGCATTGAAATTGTAAACGGTATGAAATATTACAATTTTCACGCGATGTACACACCCCTTTTATGACGACAAGACTCTCTAATTACTTTGATCTGGTTTTATCATGTTTTATCTGAATGCTTATTGGTAAGACAAAGGTTTGAAGAGGATTTTAACGCAATATAACACCAAAAGTAAACTTTCTCGAGTGCCTTTTTAATCCTCTTAACTCAGTGGTTCATCCTTTCTTAGTACATCCATGGTTTTATATTGCCTTCGGAGAAAAAATTCGTGAAAAAAAAAATATTTAACAGTACTCCACTGGAAGCTGCCAGGCTAGAAGTTGTCGACATGTTGCGAGATAAGGGTGAAAAAGTTTACTTATCATTTGCAACTGTGTGTTTTTTATATTCCACTTGCGTGCCGGAAGCGTCTATGTCTTGTCAGTTTTTTTGTAGTTTGCGAGACTAGTTGATAGCGCTTGAGGTAAATAAACAGGGTCGCAGACAAGAAGTTACACATCGCCGCACCTTAACTGAGGCTTGGCTGGTCCCCGCCTCTACGCGCAAGCCCAGCCGAATCACGTGATCTGACGCACAGTTCAGCGAAAACTGAGACCAGCAACTAATTTGCATATAACATCAACAGTGACTTGTCAATCAAAGAGCAACGAAAACAAACTTTCGGGACTTTTAATCACATACGCGTGCCTCAATTCCCTATATTTTAAAATCCATTTTTGGGCAGGTTCCAGCATTGACAATGCTCCGAAATTTTAACACTATCTAGCCAAGACTGTCTGGGTAAGAAAAGCAACAACAAAAAAATTCTGATTGTATTCAAGTTTACAGAACCACTGACGCCATTTGATTTGTTATAGCTCAATTTCTATTGCTCTTCAAATGTTGGTCCAATAGCTAACATACCTTTAGCGTGCTTCAGTAGAATATATTATGGGCGATTTATTAATATTTAATAAAGTTTGTCGCCGAATCCATCCTGGTATATCCCGGAATTCATTTCGATAAATCAGTGTTCAATCTGACGCTGTGAATCTAACGTTAACTTCACGCGGGTGAGTCAGCTGGAAGAAAGACAGTTGACAATAATAATGGTCGAGTGATACAAACGTATATATTCTGTTTTGGTGCGAAGATGTCGTCATCCGATCATGACATTGCAAAGGCATTGCAAGAGGAATACGACCAAGAAGCCTTTGCAGACGACTCAGATTATATTTCTAGTGACAACGTTGATTCCTCCAAGCGCTATTTGGATTTTGTGGATAAACCACTTTCGATCGTAGATGACCAATGGGAGCTGTTAGACCCAAATCCCGACATTCGGATGTTATTTCTGGCATTTAATGATAAATACTTCTGGGGAAAATTAGCAGGAGTTGAAGTAAGATGGAGTCCACGGATGACGTTGTAAGTTTAATCACGTACATTCCAACTTTGTGTGCCAGTAACGACCGGGGCCAGTTTGGGAGACAACCTTGAAAGTTGTGGCCAGCACTAAATGCGATTTGCGGTTTTCGAATATCGATTTAAAATGTGTACTCCTCTCACATTTTATTTACTTATTGACTCTTACACAATCCGCGGAAGGAAAGAAAATGATCACAAAGTACAAGGAAAAAATATATATATAAACAATGTACTAAATAAATAACAAATACAATCACTAAATTACTAAATAATACAAAATCTCTAAAATACTAACTAATATAAAATTACTAAATTGACAGCAGGCATTAAGATGTCAAGTAAGACCCTGCTTCCTGACTTTGAAGCTTTTACTTACTTGCTACTGGTATAATAACGTTTTCATTCTGTAACAATTCCATGAATTTTTTCTCTGCAGGTTTATTTTCAAATGCTGGGATCATATCCTTAGCTTTAATGAATAGTTTGGTACACAACTCATTATATTTGTTGCA